TCAAGTAAACGGTCACTAGTTTGAGCTGTCTTTCCTACTCTTCTGCGTTTCCGTGTCATCCATATTCCATCAGTCGTAGCATCCACATTAGAACCACTCGGGACAGTAATTGTTTTATCTGGGTCACCGGTTGCTGCTGAAGCAACATGACCACCAATATCTAATGAGGTGTCCCTCATTGATTGTTTCGGGGTAGACGGTTTAATGGCGGGTTGCAATGTTAGATGTCTGGCATGCGCCGTGACAGCACTTGCGACAATAACGCAATCTTCGCCATCAGTGCCAATGTTGCCATTACAGCCCTCATCAACCTTCTTATTAGCCAACACCAGGAGACTAATTACTTCCTGGATAAGCAATGTTTTGCTCGAGCAACAAAAACCGCAAAGCCAATGAGAGTTGGGCTTTGAGCACCTTTTATATGCAGTAGGGCTTAATCGGGTGCACATCTTATGGAACCACTTATTACACATCAGATTTCATCCCTTCCTCCACGGGAATAAGAAATATGGTTGTCCACATTTATGAGCAGATCTAGCCATCTTGAAAATCAATTAGAACGGTGACAAAAACAGGATATGTAAAAGGATTCTCAAACTTTAACTAAATAAATCAAACAAAAGTCGGCCAAGTACGCTTCGATGCAATAAATACACAAAAGCAAAATCGAAACACTCAATACAATATAACTTTAACTGGGGTAGATTCAATTAAAGTGTAAACAGTAGTTCTGATGCGTAATTTACGATCAAAACAGTTAATTAACTCAACGAGAATCAATACCACTGTCCTTTTAAATAGGGCGCGTTGCAAGAACAATTTTATTCAAATTATGTATCAATTATTAAATGTATAATAGTTACCAAGTTTTACTAAATTGAGCAATTGTTACTATTATTTTATTATTTATTTATTTGAACACACATATTAGTACAAGAGTGCGCCAAATATGTACGCGCCACACAAAACACTGAGAATTTAAAGAAAAGGAAAAAAAAGGCAAAGAGGGTAAAAAAAGAACAATAAGGAAGAGATTGGTGTAAGGTAGTGTAATAATAATAGTGGTAATAATGGGGGAACGGAAAGGTACAATCAGAAGAAACCCTTCAGTTGAGGAAGATACAACCAGTTTTTTTATGAAGAAAGTAAAAGAAGGTTACAGCAGGATCGCCACTGGTTTCTATTCTGAGCCATATCTGATAACGTCTCTAGCCACTGTGTTGCGCTATCTCTCGGACCCCAGCCTGGGAGTCGTGAGGGACCAACAGAAGCCAGCCCTTTACAGCTTTCTTTCATACCACGACACTATGTCATACACTGACCATATTACAGAACTACATTCACTAGTAGGTGCTCTTCTATAATATTCCTATTTTGTTCATAATTTTTTGGTCGTGCCAATTGTTCTTTCAATGGGGTGAGAAACAAGAGATATGCCTGCAAAGTCTACTAAAGTTTCTTCAATGTGGTGCTGTTCTTCGAGTTTAATCCCCTAGTGTACGCTCTATATCGATTTCTGATGCATCAACTGTGGGTACCGGCGCAGGTTTGAAGCGGGAAGTTAGACTAGCTATCTGTGCTTCACGCATACCTACCGTTACTAAACAAGTTTATTCAAAAACTCAGCCAGAAGCATTAGCTGTGTTTTGGGCTGTTAAAAGAATTCATTAATACTTATTCGGAAAGTGACTCACTACTGTTACTGGCCGTGAAGCATTAAACTTTATCTATCACCTTGCAAAATACTTAACACGTTACTCAGCTGCTATGGTTCAACGATGGAGTGATGGTTTGAGTGCTTACGACTAAACGGCTGAGCACAGGAGTGCCAAACAAATTTAACATATTGACTACATTTGTCGACAATCATTACAAGATAGACCTGTTAATACTGCAGACTGTTTGTTAGTGCAACCTTTACCTGTGAGACAAATCAAATACACTTCCAACAATCAGGCGAATCTGTTTGGATTTTGCTTATTAATTCTAATACTAATGAGTAAATTGTAGATATTGGAGAGACTTTATCCAATACACTTTTGGATAGACACAGGATGAACTTAAGAAGAAGACTTTCAATCGACTGCAGACAATTAGACTCCAATCTCAATTGTGACGGATGTAGTGTTTGTATGAACTAACGATTCCTTTTCACTTGTTGAATGCTTGATTTCGAATTCCAAATATAGTACACTTGATTGGGCTTATCTAGTACTTCTTGATCCGATGGCGTTGTTTCTTGGATTCATAGTTTGTACTATAATTCAAATACGTACAACTACTTACAACTGCAGGTCAAATCATTATGATGTATATGTATCAAAAATCGTAGCAAAATGATAACAATAGCAACTTTAATGACAGATATTAATGACATCATTAGGACTTTTTCTAAAACGTGATCGATATTAATAAGTACGAAATTATTTTAGTAAAATTGGAATTCTGCTTACTGCTTAGCTTTAGTATGGCATTTGTACGAACTGATGATTTTTTTTGTACTTGATTACCCGCTAATTACGAACTCAAACTACAATACGCTCATTTGCAGTCATCTGCTTCTGTTTTGCTTATATTACAGTCTCTGGAATTCCTTGTTAGTACAATAAGTCGAATACTTCTAATCATCATATTGGTGTCGTCATGGAGCCTATGATCGAACAGTTGGATAAACATACCTGGAAAATTTTTAAAAATAGAGTATGATCACGAAAGATGTTAAGCATGGTAAAAAATTTCGGCTCATCTCATTACATTCATCGGAATGGATGTATACATCTTGCTAAAAACGTTGACATCCACAGATAAGTCCATTTCACTTTCCCACGCATTTCTCAAGGAACTATTACTAAATCATGTAAAATGTACTTATTTCCAATGCTGTGAAGGGGTAAAATTTCATGAAATCATTTCCCAGGACATCAAGAATTCCACTACATTATGTGTTTATCTCAGACCAATGCGTACTCAAGGTCATGCAGATAACAATTTATTTAGGAGTTGTAAGGCATGTTACAGAGGTGAGCACAGGTTTGTTAAATGCTTGCCCTGTGGTAAATTTCACTCACGTAATACATGTGTATTTCGACATACGAAATGTTTTAAGTAAGGGAAAATGGGACACAATAAGTCGGTCTTTAGAGTTGTTGTTCTTTTAGCCACTAGTAATGATAAACTCTGTAGTTCCAATTATATTAAAATGGGTGTTTCTAATGGTTGTTCACTCTTATCCACGATTTCGTACGGTAATGTTCATATTCAGAAGCGATTGTATACCGACTGTGATTGATTCCACAACTTCAGTGTTGACACAGGTAGTATAAATTCATATCTCAGTTCAGAATTAAATGAAGTCTCGTTAGCTTTTTATGACTCTGACAATGAGCTCCAGCCAAAACAAACTCAGGTTTCACGTAATATTTGTCGAGAAAGATGAAGGGACTTGTATTTTAAACTACTTGACGCAGAACAATGAATACAAGTGTATTTTTAACATACATGAGTTATCCTAATGATTCACATGTTTTTGATAGGAATTCTTATAAAAATGAGAACATTATGTTGAATGAATCAAATTATGACCAGAAATCTGATGCAATTAGTATAGATGCCTATTTTTTTTTATGATCCATTAGTTTCTAGTCACATTACCAACAAACTTGAGGAAAATATTCCAAAAGTATCATATCATGATGTCATATCAAATGTTATTTGTTCTTATTATGGGTTTTCTTCGGCTGCAATTAAACGCAACTTAATTTCGTAAATGTGCCCTTCAGCTTAGCAACCAATCTGAATGAGGCGGGATTTATTACATCCACCATCTTTGTAAGCAATGGCGTCGGCTTTCTTCGTTCTGTGCTTCTTTCAGCTATTTCTTTTGTGTAGCTATGTAATTTAATGTCTCAGTGTGCTAAAATGCCGCAGTTAGTGTAATGTTCTATATGTTGGTGTGAAGTTTATTTCGAATCAGCGATGTTTTCTGGGTTTTTGCTGCTTCTACTCAAGTCAATGTATTTCTTCGGGCAATCTGGCTAGTCTTGTGTTATAAAATGTCGGCCGGCTTTCTTTGTTCTGTGTTTTTTTCAGCTATTTCTTTTGTGTAGCTACAGAATTTGATGTTTCAGTGTGCTAAAATCCAGAAGTTAGTGTAATACTCTGAACGTTGGAGCAAACTTTTTCCTGATTTTGCTTTGTTTTCTGGGTTTTACCTGCTGCTAATGAAGTCACTGTATTTATTCAGCTAAGCTGGCTAGTACTAACATAAGACCTTACGTTTTTAAACGACAATCGGTTATGTTTTACCTTGTTTTCTAGATATCCGAAGCCAAAGTTCGTTTTTATTTAGCTAAAATAATTGTTGCTGCCGCCTGTGACTAATTGTTCGCATGTTCGTTCCTAACTGTACTTCATGATGTTATCAGCAAAATGAAAGGAAACAATCTGCGTTTTGTAATTTTCTTCAGTATTATGGACAACACTATCCCACCAACGAGTCAAACTAATACAGAGTGCCCAGTAGTAAGGTATATCGGTACGGATTTCGAAAGGACCCAGACTTCCGACAACTAGAGATGAAGTCACAGATGCTACCAATCTATTGCAGAGTGTTTGTTATGAAAAATATGCCATATAACAGTAATAGAGGGGTTGTACTCATTACTCAGTGCGTTAAAGCAAGCTTAACATTGAAAAGCCGGAAATCTGCTACCAGTGTCTAGTGTATGTTTACTGTTTTGGCCATAAAAGGAAGCCGAAGGGTTGTAACAGCTCAGGTTGGTTGGTTAAGAGTTGACCCCAAACAACCAAGCTTATGCCAAAACAGTATTGTTCAAGTATTCATTCACTTCCTTATTTTTCATAAGCGTTATATTCCCTATTATCTTGAATGTTGAGAGCTTTTGTTTGTCTGAACAGATAATCCCACGCTCCACTGTGACTGCGCGAAGATCGAAATAAAGACCTATTCACTACTTCTCTGGTTTCTTCTATCAATAGCACGAGAGTTACCTTAAGGCACGAAACTGGTGAGCCCTTTTTGAACACAAATTTAACCTCATTTCTGTTATTAACATTTTTTTTACTTAATCGTAAAAGTAGACCTGATTATCCGTAAACTAATTTGAGTATATAACTAGTTTATTCCGTATTATTTTAAGTTATTCGTGTTATAGTAACCACTTTTTGTGCTAACTTTATTGCTATATTTGTCACATACCTCATGTCAGACTCAATAGAAACCCATAATCTGGAGGATTTGTCACCAGTGGAGATAGACACTGTTATGACTACGAAATCCCGACTTCCAGAATTTGATCGTAGTGATCCTGAGTTGTGGTTTGCTCAACTAGAGCATTATTTCACGAGACACAATATCAAATCTGAAGGGATTCGCTATAGAGACTTGTGTTCTATCCTTCCTCCTTCAGTCGCCAAAGAAGTCCGTGACTTGATTTTAAGTCCACCATCACCACAACCATACACCATCTTAAGACGAGAGATAATGAACCGTTTATCATTATCAGATAGTCAAAGAATCCAAAGACTTTTTCAAGGTGAAACACTAAGTGATCGGTCGCCGTCACAGTTTTTACGTCACCTCCAAGTCTTAGTGGGTGATAAAACAGTGGGTGAAGCAGTCCTAAAACAAGGATGGATACAAGCTCTCCCATGCTACGTCCAACACTGTTTGGATGCACAGGATCCTGAAACCTCATTATCTCATTTAGCGCGTATAGCCGACAGAATAATGGAAAGAGGTCCTCCAACTGGATCAGGCACAATAAATCACACACAAAAAGTAGAATCAGCAAAAGACCCAGTAATAGAAGGACTCATTGCGAGTGTTAAGAGTCTCACTGAGGCTGTCACCAGAATGCAAATGGGTCATAGAAACAGGAGCAGGTCACCACAACGACCACGATCCAAGTCACAAAACAGGTCACAAATGTCCAGACAATCTGGGCAGTTTTGTTGGTACCACTGGAAGTTTGGTGTCAACTCAACCAAGTGCATGCAACCATGCGCCTGGCCTAAGCATAATTCTAAGACAGCGGGAAACGAGTAACCCCTTCCCAGGTCGCGACGACTGAGGAGGGGCGCCTAAACAGTCGCTTGTTTTATGTTAGAGACAGAAACTCGGCCTTGAATTTCTTGGTGGATACTGGCGCTGCTCTTAGCATCATCCCTCGAAATAAAACTGAGATTAGTCGAGAAACATCATCAATTACACTTCAAGCTGCAAATAAAACTAAAATTGCGACATTTGGGCAGAAAACTTTAACCCTAGATTTGGGGTTCAGGAGGCAATTCCCTTGGGTTTTCACGGTAGCCGACCTAGATCTGGCAATACTGGGGATGGACTTTCTAGAGAGATACGAATTTCTAGTTGACACCAAGAAACGGCGATTAACACTAAAAGAAACTTCGTATTACACAAAAGGCAAAGAAAGTCACATCAACTCTCTTGACTTGATTCAAACTCCCCCAGTAACAACAGCGAAATTCCAAGATATACTCGCGGAATTTCCAAACTTAACTAAACCAAACCCACAGCCTTCTAAAGACAAACTAAAAGTGAGTCACACTATCAAAACCGAAGGTGCACCGGTGTCTGCAAAACCCAGGAGACTAGCACCAGATAAGCTCAAAATCGCTAGGGCCGAGTTTGATTATATGCTACAACTGGGTATCATCCGTCCCTCTGATAGTCAATGGGCATCCCCTTTGCATATGGTCCCAAAGAAGAATGAAGGTGACTGGCGACCGTGCGGGGATTACAGAGCCCTAAACCGTCAAACCGTACCTGATAGGTACCCAATACCTCATATCCAAGATTTCACCAACGGTTTACAGGGTATGAACATATTCACTAAAATTGACTTAGTCAGGGCATATCACAATATCCCGGTGGCTGATAAAGATATTCCCAAGACAGCTATTACTACACCCTTTGGCTTATTCGAGTTTGTACGCATGCCATTCGGCCTGAGAAATGCGGCACAGACATTTCAAAGATTCATAGATAACCTACTTCGAGATATGCCATTTGCGCAGGGGTATATAGACGACTTGTTAATTTTCAGCCCCGATTTGCAATCACACGAACAGCATGTACAAGCAGTGTTGAAAAGACTGGATGAACATGGAATAAACATACATCAAAGTAAGTGTGTTTTCGGTGTTCAAACTTTAGAATTTCTCGGTCACACAATAAGCCCAGAAGGGATTAAACCTATAAAAAAAGAAGTGGATACTATCAAACAATACCCCGTACCTAGTTCTCTAACACAACTGAGAAGTTTTCTAGGCCTAATTAACTTCTATCGCAGATTCATACCAGGTTGTGCACAATTAATGCAACCTTTGACAGATTCACTTAAAGGAAAACCAAAAGAATTCAAACTGTCTTCTGACGCCATCGAAGCTATTAAACAGCTTAAAGATAAACTGGCTGAAGCAACTACGTTGATATATCCGAATTCTCTTTCCCCACTTGCTTTGATGGTGGATGCTTCAGATAAAGCAGTAGGCGGTACCCTTAACCAACTGGTTAAAAACGCCTGGAAACCAATTGCTTTCTTCTCGAAAAGACTCGCTCCAGCCGAAACAAGGTATTCTACCTTCGGGCGAGAACTTCTTGCAATCTACCTGACCATTAAACACTTCCGACACATGTTAGAAGGTAGGGAATTTATAGTCTTTACGGATCATAAACCACTGACGAATGCATTAAAAGCGAGAGCCGATAAATACTCACCTCGAGAAGTCCGACACCTTGACTATATATCACAGTTCACAAGCGATATCCGACATGTCAAAGGTCAGGACAATCAGGCGGCAGATGCTTTATCCAGACTAGAAATGAACGTGCTACAGCAGTCTACAGTGTTTTCTTTTACTTGTTCCCTCTTTCAGCCCCCTTGAGATATGGAACAGGTTACTTCATCCTGCACCATCCTTAAAGCCTTGGATATCCCAAAGGGACATAAGGTTGCGATTTCTAGAAGCTCATACCTTCAATAAACCTATCCTTGACCATCAGTCGCACATTCGCAACGCAACTCTCGTGAAGCGCGCCAACTGTAGTACTGATTAAAACAATCTACATTCACGTCTTATAAATTTTCAACCCAGCTATGTAATTTAATACAGTGTATATTGTATCATTTGTATCAATTTGATCTTGCCTGTAAACTGGCATGCCTCATGTAACAAACTGTTATTTGAGAATAAATTATTATTATTATTATTATTAAACTTCGAGACGTTAAGACACGAACAAGAGCAGGACCTAGAATTGCAAAACCTACTTAAAACAAACAATTCAAGTCTTAATTTAAAACAATTCCCATCACCTATCGATGGTATTCTAATTTATTGTGACACGACCAAGGCAATGCCGCGACCTTTCGTTCCCAAAAATATGCGAAAGTTGATATATAATAACTTTCATTCTTTGTCTCATCCTGGCGCGAAAGCTTCAACAAAACTAATCAATGCCAGATATATATGGCCGAATTTACAGAAGGATGTACACAAATGGGTTAGAGAGTGTTCAGCATGTCAACAATCAAAGATTAATCGTCACACAAATTCACCCATAGGTGTTTTCTCGCAACCAGATGCACGTTTTGCCCATGTGCATATCGACTTAGTAGGTCCTTTACCACGTTCAAACGGTTTTAATTATCTTTTTACATGCATAGATCGATTTACCAGATTCCCTATAGCCATCCCGATAGCGGACATCACAGCGGAAACAGTAGCCAAAGTTTTCATGCAGAACTGGGTAACCATTTTTGGTACACCTATAACAATAACGACGGATAGAGGAGCGCAATTCGAATCCGAACTATTTAATAACTTGGCTAAACTTCTAGGCTCCAATAGGATACGCTGCACTGCATATCATCCTCAGGCTAATGGGATGGTAGAACGTTTTCACCGTCAGCTAAAAACCGCCCTTATATCTCACTCAAACCCCAATCAGTGGACAGAATTCCTACCGTTAGTTATGTTGGGAATACGAACATCTGTCAAAACTGACGCACAGTGTTCAGCTGCGGAACTGGTTTTCGGAACAACTCTGAGACTACCAGGTGAATTTATTAACCCCAATACTAACAGTCAAAAACTTAATTTAGGAAACTACGTAGATCAACAACGGGACCATATGTCCAAACTTAAGCCAATTAATACTCGCGAACAATCGCGTGCCGTATATGTACCTAAAGACCTAAGCAATTGCACGCACGTCTGGATAAGATGTGACAAAATAAAAGCACCACTTAGCCCTCCATTTGAAGGTCCTTTCAAAGTCGTCTCAAGAAAATCTAAATATTTCGTGATAGAAAAACATGGAAACATCGACACAGTAAGTACTGATAGGCTAAAACCGGCTTATCTAGATCATGAACCACCATACGTGTTGTTAGATCGTTTAACTGACAAATCCATTACGGAATCGAAATGCAAAAACGATAAATCTTTACAAATGACTAAAACGGTTCGCTGGGCACATCCGATTAGCCAACCAAGGATGTTGACAGTTTCAGCTGCAGGATAAAATCTAACCACGTAGCTAATCAGACCCTTCATCTACTTAAAAATAACTTTTCTCCCCATTCCGCCTCACCTACAACTCCCCAGATCTTTTGCCTTTGATATATAAGTGTTTTCGGTTGAGAATATGTTTAGTAGCTTGATACGCTTAATACTACTATTAATAAGTGGTTTTCTAGACAAAACATTTTGGATTAAACTATGGTCAAATACTTAATAAAGTTCTCATCATTTTTTTTCATGTTTAGGAAACTTACATAATGACTTAACCAGTTTTCCTACAGCATGCTTTTTAGTGTGATCATATAACCCATCATTATTGGCAATATTCAAATTTTTTTTAAATTTCTGACATTTAAGAATCAATAACCGTGAAGATATAGTACAGTGCGTTACTGTAAGGTTACTATGTTAGCCGCATTGATTCCACATACCTAATTTTAAACACAACTTATAAGGGAACTGTTAAGTAATCACAACATTGAACTAATATGAATATCACAGCTATGCTAACGTTAAACCAATTATTATTAGTGGTCCATACAAAATCCTGGAACTTAACACTAGCGTTATAAAAAAACATGTTATGTCAATGACTTATATATATATATACCTTTTTTTTCTCTCGTTGGTTTAATTATAACGTAAAATGGAAATCTACCACACTTGTAGTTTTTTTTCTATAGCATTATTATTAATAAAAACAAAGAACTTGTACTATTCCAATATGGCACTTTGACATATCAATCCGTCCTCCTGTTATCTTTCTCTCATATCTGAGCAACATATGGCCAACAAACATCGTATTGAAGGGGGTTTTGGTGAACGAAAACGCTAGCCCCACACGCACTCGAACCTCTGCCCTCGTGGATGCTAGACCGTGTGCCTAGCCATTAGACCACATCAAACCACTGGCGAATGACTGCAATCTTTCCTTTTACCGATTAATCGTATATAATACTAATGAGTAATAGGACTTACACATTTCTAAGGTGCAGACAAATTCGTTACTTGGATGAATTGACGAAATATTGTTTCAATATATCATACATACTTAGATCAAACCAGAAAAGAGTATTTGACACAATTGTACTTAATCCTCATAATCTACACAATTTTTTTCTCCTCCTTAACCGTATATTCTTTTCCGTTTTGTGGAGTACAACTATGCACCCTTGGTTACGTACCTGGTTATAAAAGGCGGTCGTCATAGGCCCAAGGTCATACATTTGACCGGGTTTGACAATGAGTCCAACTTCTAGCAAGTTTACACTTTTACATATATGCATTATGAAAAAGTTTTTTTTTGTGTTCATACCTTTTCGTACATAAGATGGCTACACTATGTCTATTTTCTTCCAGAATACCAATCCTTTCTGGAGGCCAATCACTTACGTGGAACCGAACAATTATAAATTATATTTTTGTATTTCCATTTTGTATCTTATTATTTTTATGCAGGCAGTGGAGCAGTTCTTCAGGTATGATTGGTTTTCACCATTACCTTTGAAGTAGATTCTTCTTTACTTTTTACTTGAGGGCGACTAAAGAGGCAGGTGAGTAAACACCTGATAGCCGGTCTGAGCATGGAAAAATCGTACCTCACCAACATGGTGTTGGGTAGCCCGCTCGCGGCACTTCCTCAGATATTCTTATTCCACATTCTCACACTCTTTCTCTTGAAAGCACGCAGTAAACCGTCAGCGATAGTTGTAGAATAGATCACATGCTACAAAATAAGATGACAAGCTAGTAAATGAGGAGACATCCATGGACTATCGTTGCCAGCGTTCCTACGGAAGTCGATTCTAGGGGGAAGCTAATGTAACAGCTCAGGTTGGTTGGTTAAGAGTTGACCCCAAACAACCAAGCTTATGCCAAAACAGTATTGTTCAAGTATTCATTCACTTCCTTATTTTTCA